GTCTTAATTGCACAACTATCGTAGTAAGGGCGATAGTACGAGCTAAGCCTGGTAACATCCCCCGGTCGGCGAACACAGCTACACGAAAAGATAAATCGCTCTCCCAAAACCCCCATTTAATTCCCGACCGTAACAGGATGATATTAATTTAAAACTGTAATCTGCATAAATTTGTGTACAAGTTATTGCTGTGGTAATCAAAATGTTAGTAGTCAATTAATTAACTTTCTGCCACATCAGCCTCTCATTTATGTCACATAATAGAATGTTCACTTTGTCTGGTTTTGTTGCAGTCTGCCCCATATTGTAAATACAACAATGAAATTTTTCAAAAAAGTTTTTGTTTTCCTATTGATTCACACAAACTTTTTGGTACCACCTGTATATACATACTACTTACGAAATCTTCCTTCCCTCTTTTCTCGAAAACTGTTGCTCTAGTAAACAAGGTAGCAATAATGAAAAAAGTTGTTCAAAGTCAGAATAGTTCTCTCTTGCTTATCTCCAAAAACTGTAAAAGAATCTGTAAAAACACTCCCAAAATGGAATTTACTACTTGAGACAGAAAACGCTGATAAAGATATTAAAAGCTCTTGTGTGTAGTCTAGAGCCAGCAGTACGTCTTGTGTTATAGCATGAAGGGTTAGTTGCTAGTCGCGTGGGTATTAGGTATGTATCAATCACGTGATAATCAATTTATTGTACAAAATTTCGCATAATGCATGCATCCAGATTTTAATGTTTAACATTATGATAATCAAACTCACTCCTGTTATTTTAGTACTTTGACGCTTTGCTTAATTAAAGCGGGATAAAGAAACACGACTCCGATCATCATATACTTTGTCAAACGGTTGATATATGGAGTTGATTGCTGTACCAACCTTTATAACTCGCAAAACAACACTCTCATCGCTAACGTTTGAGTATTACCGTACGTTCGATTTCATTAACATATAGTGTAAAAAAATATATTGGCGTAAACTTAAAAGTGCTCAGCTTTTTCAAAATAAACCAAACCGCGTAAACTTGTTTTTGTTTTGATGACGAAAATAGATTCTTTATTTTCTGTTAAACAATGTGATATTCTTTAGAAGTCGCATTTAAGAAAATAACAAGCTCCAAATCAAAAACTCGACAAAAAACTATATCACATTTTTGGATCTTTAGCCAACGATATTCACAAAGCGACACAAATTTCAATGCGACTTATCTATAATAACTTGAAAAAATTGGAGTGATTTGGTACTTTGAACCACAAAAAAAAAAAAAAACCGGCCACCTAAGAAAATTGTGCCCAATGTCGCGCGGTACATCGACCAGAGTATACGCAGTAATTCTACAATTTATTGAAGACTAGACTGGCTGGAAAGGGCGTACAGGTCTAGGTCTCACACACAATTGCAGCACATTGTTGCTTTGTTGCTGCTATTATATTTCTACTATTAATATTAATATTCATAGGAAAGAATCATAACTGTTAATTGACAGAACAGTATGGTTGATAAGTAATAAGATGTTTGGCATAGGGTTAGTTCTTTTACCGTTGTATTAATATAAGTTTATGTTATTTTATTACAAGGATACAATGTTGCATTAAGACACGATGTTACAATTATCAATGCTACTACTAAGTGCAGGTCGTTGGGACCGAGGTCAATGGCTGCACTTAGAGAGAAACCTGCACTTAGAGAGAAACCTGCACTTAGAGAGAAACCTGCACTTAGGGAGAACCAGTAATATTGAATTTACGTGGATATATTTGTATACTTTATTTGCTACTATATAAACTGTAAATTTATATAATAAATCAACAAACAACAGACTTGAAAAGAAAGTAATACAGATGTTGCAAAGAGCGGTAAGTACTCAAAACCGTTTACTGGAATTCTTTATCAAGAGCATTGGAGTTGAAAACAATTCAAGATTAGTCTGCCGAAACGATGTAACTTGCAGATTTCTCCCCATTTTGGTGATTTTTGAAATTGTACCAATATATATTGACTCTGTATGACCCATTCGTACATTGCGTTTTCAAGATCAGGATATTGGACAGCTCTTGATCTTTTGGTATTAGAGACATTTTCACATTCCTTAATGTCATTTTGCTTCAGTAAACGTCCAACAGTCGTTGGGTTATGTCTAAGTTAAATGTTGTCTTAACTTTTTACATGGGTAGCATTGGGGTTCCTGTCTTTGTACTTGAGAACAAGTAATTTTTGCATATTAATATAGTTCTTTTAATTTTTTGTGATTGATCAACAGTACTTAAATGAAAATGATCTATAAATTTGATTGGCTGTTTATTGAATCGTGCACTTATGGAGAATTTTTACATATAAGGGCCAACAAATATCATGCACTTATAGAATAGGGAGAACTTGCACTTATCCCATAGGTACCAATGCGGACCAGATTATTTCCTGCACTTAGAGAGATAATGCACTTAGGGATCATGCACTTAGGGAGGGTCCACTGTATATTGCAAAAATGTCACACAAAATTCTTGGCAAAATGCTGCCTCAAAGTTTTTTTGGATAAATAATATTACTAATTTTGGGTACTTAACCTAATCCAATTCGCATTATTAAATAGTTATTTATAATTATAATTACGAGCCTTGAAATCATACTGTTACTGTGACATTATGTGATTTGTTGTGTAGCATGCACTATCTGACAAAGAAGTGAACTGGAACAACTATCACAATTTATCATTGTTTTGTTGAATTGAGATACAGCTCGGCTAATTTTCAGTCAAACATTACTGACATTCAATAACCTCGTTTGTAATTTCGTCCTCAAGCACAAGATAATTTATATGCCCAAATCTCTATTAGCCATTACACGCAGATATCGTCTTCTTTATTTCACCTCTCATGTATCTAGGTAGATGGTAAAACTAGCTCTAGCGTGTATTGGTATATGGCTTGGAATAACGTAACTCGATCTAAAATATTGTACTGGTTTTTTGCTGCAGTTTGCCCCATTTACCTTTCGTCAAGTAACACATGTAACACTACACAAGATCCGTGCATAATCTATGTATTACGTGCCAATTTCCATATAAACCGCGCGGCGAGATAAGGTCGAAAGTCACAGTAACTGTAAAGTTCTTTTCAGTAGAATATTTGTTGAATTTCTATTCACACTTTACAATATGCTGAACTCTTTCTTGTAAATGTCTCTTCAATTAAATCTCAAGAGATCACTGTAGGAACACCAAGCAAAATTTTTTTGACTGAATCATTGGGTGTGGCTTTTTGTTCCGATAACAAATGTTGCAGTTCCACTGATTGTGTGTTGGCGCAAGTACATGGCGATTATGTACAATCTAAGTAGTAGGCTTGGTTCGAAGGGGAATATCATTAATAAAGCAAAGCCATTGATTGATTATTCACTTAGGTGCATTTCCACCTAATTTCTCTGTCAATTCATTGGACAAGTCTAAGGCTAACATTCAGAATAGACTTAACATCTCGAACAAATGTTAATATTAAGAGTAATTAACCTTAATCCCCTGCAACTAAATAATTTTATTAACCAATCACATCCAAACATTAACTGCTACGCGACCACTCACGTCCTAGAACAATTACTGTCATTCTCTCAATTGATATAAACTACCTTGGGCTATCATCGTTTCAATGCTCGGTATTATATTGGATGATACTATTATTACTAATAAGTCGATAAAATGTAATTATTCGCTTAGCTGTTGAATAATTGCTGCAAAATATCATTGTCATTGGAAATCCCCCCCCCCCCCCCCTCCAGAGAAGAAACTTACGGCACATTGACATGGGGAGAGCACCTGTTCCAAAGACAATATTACTGGGCATCCCCCTTTGATCACAAGAGTTGCCAAACACACATCATAGTAACCTGGGTTTTTGTACAGTCTAAACTTGGTGAACTGATGATCACCGCATGATCACAACAGCGCATATTACCATGTTTCTTAATTCAAACTCTCCAATAACACAGTGAAGCCATTATATACAAAGTTGAATTTGCTCAAGAAATATGGGAGGAACTTTTGTCTGTTAGTCCAGTGCCACGCTGTTCGATATTAGGTCAACTTTACGCCATCTAGGCCTTATGACTGAAATCCGAGAATCATGGGTGAATCGCATAAAAATACTTCACCCGTGATCGTTTATTCGACCCTCAACTTAACGTCCACATGTATATATGATAAATAATATGTCTAAAATCCTTCAATTCTATTTAATAACATGATTTTTACATATCTTCATTTTGCCACTCGATTCATTGTGATCGTCCTATTTTAAAATCTCGATCGGCTCTCTGCAAGCGTCTGAACAGATTCACTTTAAGCATGCCAGACTCTCTTAACCAATTCAGTCATCCCAACATCATTAGTGTTAAACTGATAGCACCCGATAAGTACAAGCAATGTTGCACCTCTTAAACCCCAAGTACTCAACTTGTTCAACGTGGGTGTCTTTCTGGCAGGAAGATAATCGGTAATGATGGCGTCGAATCCAACATGACAGTGAATGGGAAGCACGACGCCGAGAAGAAGGTCAGTGATCGGATGGGCACCCTGAACTACAGAGGCTGCAGTGAGAGGGATGAGGCTAATGGAGATCATACGTTCAAAAAACCAGTGGTAGGAGCCGAAGAATTTGTCCCTTGCCGGAAGAACTGCTGCATCGTTCACCGAGCCTTTTATAAAGCCTTGTAAGCGGTAGTGAGAGAGCAAGAGGATATAAAGGTGAAGGGAGGGAGTAAACTAAGCAAGTGGAATTGGAAATCGATTCACGCGCATAACATCATAATGCTCGCATAGTCGAAATTATCGATTATGAATTCGAGCAGTTTCAAATACATTACTCGCACCATCTCTGACAACTTTTGTGGTCTGAAGACCAGCAGCTCGACCTATTTATAATAGAAATTGTACGATAGTGAGACTTTGGATGGAAAGGACTGAATATAGCTGGAACGAAAAGGTAGTAAAGGTGATGATGATAATTTCTTTGCCATGTCGACTGATCATACAGTCAATAAGCATATACACACTTTTCAATCACACAATTTTCAAACCGTTCGAATAACTAACTTACTTGCATGAAAACTAGCAACTTGGAATATAGTTACTGCTCTAACGTTACCAACACTTTTTAAGCCTAATACCGTCTGGTTTAGTCTTGGAGCGATTCCAATGGTAGAGTTAACAAGTCTGAATGCCATGTCTTTAATATCCAAATCGACTAATACTAAGGAAGAACATTTTTTTATCTGATCACCAAGCCAAGATCCTTTACGCTCATTGGCCGAGCTTTATCACCCACAATTGGTTGCATGTAATGATGCACGTCAAGTGACTTTGGGCATTGAGCTTTGACAAAAATGTCAACGAAGATAACACAGCTTCCCAGTCACGCAAAAACTAAAGTTATGGTGAATCAATCTGGCGATCTTTTTCCATGAGAGTAGATCAGAGGAAAACACACTAGTCTATTGGGGGGAGTGAGTAAATTTCCCTAAATTGGACGTTGAATTATTATTAGCTACTTTTTTAAGGTTTCAAACCCCCAGTTTATCTAAGTGCATGTCGGAACGTCGGAATGTCGGAATGTCGGAATGTCTCATAAAATATTTAGTTTTATTGGTATCGACTTGCGATACTTGTCCACCATTTGGATCAACGGACTTGTGTTCGGGCCGTGTTCATTCTTACTGTTCTGGGTCTGACTGAGCAAATGCAAGCGAGCCTTGTTCTTTCAAAAAGGTTGAATTCTAATTAACTGCCATGTTAGCTTGTAGAGTTTCTTTTTGTTTCAGTAGCAATTCTACGAGTGTTGGAAATTCAATGGCGGTTTGATTAAACGAACCCGGTTGCTGACGCCTTTTAACGGTAACCGACGGCTATGGAGATTACCCTAGTAACCTACTCTTTGGAAGTCCTGAGTCGTTTATCTACGCATACTAAACCCTCACCGTTTAATACAAGTCGCCGCATTCTCGTAGTTGGCTGCTTGACTTCAATTCTGTCGACTTTGGACACAATTTTTAAGAAGAATATTAGCCCGAAACGTCAGGGTTACGTACAATCTTTATTTCAGCTTGCATAGTCATTTACTGAATTTATTAATGACAATTTTAACTCAATCCTGACTCGTTTTACTAATGTCAAATCAAGGATATTGCTTCTTGTCCGTTCTCAATTGATTGATCGATCGATGAAAAAGAAACCGACTGTTCTCTGCCTTTTTAAAATGTTTTAAATTCGAACCCCTGAAATATGTTTGTGGCGTTGTGTTCACATTTTGTCCGGTTTGGTTGTGACATGTCACACGAACGCATATTTGTATGACATTCTATTATAAAAAAGCCTTATCGTTATATATCACCAGTAAAAAAAAAACGATCTCTTCGAGCAGAGGGGAAAAAGCACGTGGACTAACGAAACAGCGAACCCCTATTTTCTTCATTTTTTTTTATTTCTTTATATTTTATTACCAGGCTTCGAGCCGACTGACCACGAGCTCGAATAAAGGCTCTCTATTTTGATACAACATTCATTCGTTCAATAGATAGACGCACTAACTTATACAAACCACAAGAGGACATGGATTGGCAACCGTCTCAAGAAGGGCTGTCTGACTTGTTGCAGCTGCTGAAGAACTCTGTTTCTCCAAGCACTCAAGTTCATAATATGATACAAGAAGTATCCTTTTCATGTCGTAAGAGAAAAGGCATTTGCGTATGTTCGTAACGTATACGAGATACAAGAAGTGTGGGATAGTAACATGCACGGTCGTATCGTTGCTATCAAGCGCGTTATTCTATAGACCCGCAGTTTTGCCTCCCTGATCTATCTCCCCATGTTGCGTATTACACAATCGTCTTTTGCTAATTAACATCTCTGAATAAATCAATGCCCGATTGTCATATTATCCTTCACCGTCGATGCCTCTTTCCATTTTTACTTTTTCGAAATAGAGACTTGAAGGCTACAACAAAGTTCCTGACTACCCAAAATGCTTGGTCTATATACTCACTCAAGTACAACAAGAAGATACTTCGACTCGTGCCATTGCTGGGCTACTACTTAAAAACAATATCCGTCACATGTTTCCGAATTTGTTGCCGGAAACATTTTTATACGTGAAAACATTATTAATAAAAGGACTGGGCGATCCGGATCCAATGATTAGAAGTATTGTAGGAAATGACATTACGACGATCGTTTCAAGAGGTGGTTTTGAGTCATGGCCGGAATTGCTGCCTACTTTGATAAGTTTGTTGGATTCTGAGGATTACAATATAGTTGAGGTTGGTGATGAGACGTTAAGGATTGTGGGGTTGTATGTTCAGACTGAATGCCATTAGAGTTGAAGCGTACTGAATTGGATAATTTTGAGAGGAAAGGTGTGAACAAAATTCTATGTGGTTTTTAAATATTTGTTTCGGTATCGATTTTAATAATATTATAAGAAGCAGAATATTTTTATTCAATTATTATATATTATCCCAATTAAGTTCTTTTCTTTTTTCGTATTTATCTTTCCTCGTGTTTATCTTTCCTCACCATCTCACCTTACTTTCTTTACCTGCACTACAGGGCTCATTTGGTGCATTACAAAAAGTATGCGAAGACTCGGCTCGCGAATTAGACCAAGAAATCCACGGCACGCGCCCATTAAATTACATGATTCCCAAAATTATTACGTTTTTCGAGTCGCCACACGTAAAACTCCGCGTCTATGCCATATCATGCATCAACCAGTTTATTTTGATGCGCTCCCAGTCACTGTTTATCCATATAGACGCCTTTGTAGGCGCTCTTTTTAAATGTGCAACCGATAAGAACTCTGAAGTTCGCAAGAACGTTTGTCAGGCTCTGGTGATGTTACTCGAAGTTCGCCCCGACAAGCTCATGCCTGAAATTAATAGCGTGGTTGAATATATGTTATATTCCACTCAAGATCCTGATGAACAAGTGGCGTTGGAGGCATGTGAATTCTGGTTGGCATTTGCTGAACAACAAGATCTTCTTGAGGCTCTCCGACCTTTCCTCCCTCGTATTGTGCCCGTCTTGCTCAAAGGTATGGTTTACAGTGATATGGACCTCTTAGCCCTTGGTGGCGATGAAGACGATACCAATGTACCAGATAGTGAACAGGATATAAAACCGCGTTTCCATCGTCCAAAGCTACATGGTTTCGATCGTCCAGCCGATGCTAATGGGACTGAGGGTGGTCCAAGTGCGCAAGGTGTAACAAGAGGAGGTGACGAAGAGGACGATGATGATGATGACGATTTGGACGAGGATATATATTCGGAATGGAATTTGAGAAAATGCTCAGCGGCTGCTTTGGATGTAATGTCGACTGTATTCGGAAATGAACTTCTTGAGATTTTGTTGCCTTTCTTAAGAGAGCAACTGTTTCATCAAGATTGGAAACACAGAGAATGTGGTATATTGGCTCTTGGTGCCGTTTCAGAAGGTGAGTTGCGAGAGAGCATGGCTTATATGATGGATGAGAATGAGATATTGTTGGCGATTATGCAGATATTATAACGTTTCTTGTTGCTGAATTCAAGGGTGCATGGATGGCGTTACACCACATTTGCCCAATCTGGTTCCATATCTGATTCAAACGCTCACCGATCCCAAGGTATGTGTTCTCTCACAATTGGTTAATGGAACCTTGCTCTAGTGGTATTCATCCCATGTTCATACTGTACTCTTTATGCGTGTTACCTTATATTTTTTTAGCCTCTTGTTCGTTCTATAACGTGCTGGACTCTGGGCCGTTATTGCCGATGGTGCGTTCATGCTCCTCCGCCCGAAGAGAACAAATACTTTGAACCACTTCTTGACGGGGTATGAGAAGAGATTTGCATGCGTTTTCTTTTACTTATCTATATATGATATACTTACATTAATCATCAATTGTTTATAGCTGTTACGCAGAGTACTTGACAATAATAAGCGCGTCCAAGAAGCGGCTTGCAGTGCTTTTGCAATTCTTGAAGAGGAGGCATGCGAAAAATTAATACCGTACTTGAATCCGATTTTGAGTAGTTTGGTATTCGCGTTCTCCAAATATCAGCATAAGAATTTGCTTATTCTATACGATGCGATTGGTACCTTGGCAGATTCGGTTGAATCTGCGTTGAATAAGCAAGAGTACATTGATATTCTAATGCCGCCACTCATTGAAAAGTGGCATTCATTGAAAGATGATGAAAAGGATTTATTCCCTCTCTTGGAAGTAAGTTAATGATTTTAATAATCGACCACTAAGGCGAAATGTTCAATGGAGTAACTGTTAAAGCGTTTGCTTTTTAATAGAAGTATTTTACATGTTATTTGATTTTGTTTACTAGTATCAAAACAGACAACTGTCATGCCATTCTAACCCTTTCGATTCTTTTATTTATCTTGCAGTGCTTATCGTCAGTAACAACAGCTCTTGGCCTGGGCTTTGAACAATATGCGCCTCCGGTGTTTGAGAGGTGTCTGAAACTCATCGAGTCCACTCTGTACCAATCTCAGTTATGTCAGCAAAATCCAACGCTCGATTTGCCCGAAAAAGAATTTATGATTGTCGCACTCGATTTACTCAGTGGGTTGGCTCAGGGACTTGGCAGTCACATTGATCCGCTAGTGGCAAACAGTAACCCATCGTTGATAAATATGCTTGGATTCTGTATAGTCGTAAGTAGTGTTGGTGATGGCGTGGTGAATATAACGGGAAGAATGAGGAGAATAGGGAGGGGATGCAAAAGGTGATATGAAGATTGAAGGTGATACGGGGATGTAAGGCGTGGATGAAATTGTACAATAAGAGTGGATATGTAATGAACATAATGCATTGAATTGCATGGATGGTGTTTATCTCACTCTACCTATCACCCGCTCCGCCTGCTCACCTTCCTCCTTCCTTCTCCTCGCTATTCCTCGACGTTCTAACTGAAGTTAAATAAGAATAACGAACGAATCAAAAAAATAATCTACTCAGGATCCAGTTGACGATGTACGACAATCAGCCTATGCACTCCTCGGTGATCTTGCCATTGCATGTTTCCATTACATTCGACCACATCTCGACAAATACATGAGCGAGTTAATTAAACAAGTTGATCCCCATACTGATCACGTGAGCGTATGTAATAATGCAGCATGGGCAGCTGGTGAAATCGCTCTAAAGGCTGGTGAGTGTGTAAGAAGCATTGGAATTGTTGATATGAGCAGTACTGTTTATACTGATTTGTTAATGTTATCTTTGTTTTTAGGTCCAGATATGGAACCATATATCAATCCTCTGCTAGAACGCCTTGTTCCTTTGTTAAAAAACACGAACACATCTCGAACTTTGGCTGAAAATGCTGCTATCACAACTGGAAGGTTGGGTAGAGCATGTCCGCAGCTGGCTATGTCAATGGAACATTTTGTTGAGGATTTGTAAATACCATTTATTCATTTGAAGTTTTGCTACGACATTAGAGAGAAGCAAGTGATTAATATTATTAACTCTACGTTGTAGATGCCGAGTGCTAAAACAAATTCGAGATAATGAAGAAAAGGAGACTGCCTTCCAAGGTCTTATAGAAATGATTAAAGTTTATCCTCCTGGAATTGCCAAGGTTAGATTATAAATATATTACATGCCAGTCTAATCTGTTCAGTGTCCGTTATTAAATGCATTGATTTTCGTATTCTAGTCATTTTACGAGTTCTGCCAAGCAGTTTGTAGCTGGCAGAATCCATCACCAGAATTGAATGCTTCTTTCAGTAATGTAAGTATATTAGGTTGTATGGAATTTTTATTATACGTGTGTTTTGCTTGTGTGTGTGTATTAACCTTGCCCATTTACTTGCTCTCTTCCAATTGACAGATTTTAACAGAATTCAAACGGACTCTGGGCCCCGAATGGGATGTTTATACTAATAATTTTGATCCGGAGATACTACATAAATTAAATGAACGCTATGGGATCTACAGCCAAGCTTCGATATAATGACGACCGGATACAACGATATCCGGCATGCCAACGATGAAATTTGCCATCACAAAAATCCCTATTAAAATTTTCTGGTTATACCGATTTAATTATTAAATCTCGTTATTTCGTATAACGAATGTGTCCATAGTGTATCAACTATTGTAGCAACTTTTATTTTTGTACCGACAACCACTAGACAATATTCTCGATCTTTATGCATATTTTCAGCGGTTTTTAGTTGTGGTAGTTCCCTGCTTTTGTGCGTAATATTTTCTCATATCTATGAATAAATCTATTTGACTACCAAGATCATTAATTTTAATTGCAAATAACAGCACTCTTGTAACAGTGGATAAGTGATTAAATACTGGCGGAGCTGATACAGCCAAAGCATAATTATGCTGGGCGAGATGCTTTGACACTTGACGCGTCATAAAGTTTTTGCTTATCGGTGGACGTATACGATTAAATGTCAAACCTTTCTTTTTATTTGACAGATTGTGCTAGTACTTGCAGGTTTGTATTGACAGCATTGAATTTATTTTCTTTTGCGGTACGTTTTGACTTGGAGTCAATGATGGTCGCTTATGTCATGTCAGTATGATCATGTGATCGATACAAACCATAAAGTCGTCACACAATCGATGTTGGAACAATTTTGTTGTGAAAAGCTCATGGTGGATGGTGGTTATTGCCGAAAAAGAAGATGTTCTTTAGAAGATCACCCGTTATTATAATAGACAATCGACGTAGGTGTCATTACAGAGGATATTCCATCCTGAGGGAATACAGACAGCGGCGTCTTGGTCACTTTCACAATAGTAATCGGTATGGTGGATATTCAACACTAAAGCGAGAACAGGTAACCAATTCGGATAATAATATATCGATCACCAATAAATCAACTGATTAAGGATTCGTGCCAACCAGTCATCGTCATCGTCGTCGTCGTCGTCGTCGCCGTCGTCGTCATCACCATCATCTCAAGCAGAATCTCAGGAATATCCTCCCACTTCTATAGCCATAGACACTCCGTCCGAGAATACCTTGAATGAAGAGAGCAAAGAATGCATCACTGTCGACGGGGAAATAGTACCGGCAGAACCCAAGTTCCCCGATAACTGTTGCATGAGGTAGGTAGGGTTGCTTCCGAATCAAACGTAAAGATTGCAGTTACTGATAATTTTATCATGTCTGTCGGTTACGGTGACTCAGCGGATGTGCACATTGGTAAGCAATGAATCCTTTTAATATGCCCAAGACAGCTCAAGTTATATACCCTAGTCATTGCACTGCACAATTACCATTTCCTGTGCTGTGATGTAACCAGTACGCTCGTTATTTGTTTCCCACACAGTGTATTGGATATATATCAAGAAGAACTGGAAGAGTGGAAGGCAAAGATTAACGACATGCGAGATCGCCTCTTACGTGAAGGCAAACCACTACCTCCCATTCTTGCAAAACAGCAGCCGGATATGCCGCAAGATGACGTTGATCCGAGTTTGAAAGCGCTAATGGAATTAGAAAAGAAGTTGGCAGCGCAAAGAAAGGGATAGAAGGGTGGGGTTGGGGTTGGGGTTGGAATCGGAAGATTGCAAATAGAGTATTCTGTCAAATGTTTATGTTTTTTAGGAGGGCGAGGGAGAGCGGGGGGTCGATCCGATCGATCGAATTCGTGGTTAAGGGCGGGCAACAGATACAGAGGGGGAGGGGGGAAAAAAAAAGTTGGGCATCTTCATGTCACATGATCTAACAATCTTGTTAATCTTGTTTACTATTACTCGTAATAATATTTGCTTACCATGTATGAAAATTGTATTTTGTATGCCATAGTAATAGTAATAGTATAGGCATAGTTTTCACAATAACTCTCGTACTCCAAACAAATGATTTTCATTTCACTCCTTATTCCCTTGTGTGAATAAATCGATTGGGCGGGGCCATATTTAGTAAATAGGAACTGCAGAGGACAATTGACATCTCAACGAAACAATCTCGAGGGCACAATAAGAAAGAGCGTAAGAATGCAGTGTGAAGGGTAAAAAGCGGCGCATAAGCGACTTGGGCTTTAACACATAATATTGGAATCGAATAACATTGTTGATGGGATCTGTTATTTTGAAACACACACCACACAGCCATCCATCGAAAAAATCCACCATCTCAATAAACATAATTTCTTATCATGTGATCATCTAGATTTGCAATAAGGTAAGCCACGAATAAACAAAAGAAAAAATGGCTTCTCTTTTTGAAACGAGGCGTTGTTATGGAAAAAAAAAGAAAAAGTCTGCTGTTTCCACTTGACGGGAATGGGTTAGAGTAGAGGAATACGATAATCGAAGAATACGGAACTTGGCCGCTAATAGTAATATTAGAACGATAGTCATCATATGACCAGAATAAAATAACCATCTTATACAACGGGTTACTTTGGCTTTCTTTTTTTTTTCTGTGTAGCCGTAAAATTTTCGTGGGGTTAAAGTAAGTTTTGATATGCCTGTTTAAGGAAGATTTGTCAAGGCTTGGGCATAAGGTTGTTTATCTTTGATATGATACAAAATAATGCTGCAAACAACACATTGTAGATACAATTATTGATTGATTACTTTAAATCGACAAGATAACGCCCGACATATAATTATAATGGCATGCAAAAAAAAAGATGTGGGGGTACACGAAAGCGTCTCACATCTCATCTCTGAAAAAAATTATGCAGTTATGAAAAGAAAGGAAAGAAGGAAGGAAAGAAAGAAGGAAAAAAAAAAAGGAAAAAAAAGAAAAAGAAAACCCACACACATCGACGCTAAACTGGGGCGTGTGAAGTAAATAATAAAATTCTTATCGATGATCGCTTTGCATTCTTTTTCCTTATTCCCTTTTTTTCTTTTTTTTTCCTTGGCTTATTGATCTCTGTTCCTTACCCGTGGGTTTAGTTAGTATTTGAAGATCTATTCGAGAGATCTACAAAGATGTGGGGAATGACCTCTAATTCATATACAATCGGTCTTTGATGTGTTTGTGAGGAAAAGGGGGGAGGAGGGGGAGGTTCGAGCGTTGACAGTGGAAAGTGTGGAGAAAGGATTTCCTGTGAACTGGGCGTCCCATTGTAAGACAAAGCCTAGACTAAAGTGGAATGTAAACTATACAGTAAAAGTCATTGTAGTAATGTATTTTATTTATCTTTATTTGTTTCGTTTCTTGGTTGTACGCCACCCAACAGTTTTTTTTTATCAGACGCCCTCTTAAGCAACACAACAATTTATCGTGCCTAATGTTTTTTTGCTGTCAAACTGTCAAATTTCCAGAAATATGCTACACTAAACAACAACAATGATGATTGATAACAATTGGCAAATGAGAATAATAATGCAACAAGATGATGTATGACATAGTAATAAACAATGATGTTGTTGTCGTTATTGTGTGCTTGTCATTAATTATATATCATATTGTATGTAATTGACTTCAATTGTTTGCTAGAGATTCCCCGTGGTATGATCTGTAAATCTATACAAAGAGAGAATGTGCCGCAGTACAACTTTTTTGATATCTAAATTAATCAATCAAAAGAACAAATCCTAACACACACATATAACACATACATATAACACACACATATAGCACATACATATAATACACACATATAACACATACAATATAATACACACATATAACACATACATATCATATCCTAACACACACAATACAAAGTCTTCATTTACATACACAACGCACATACATAATACGCACAATAACATACAACATAACACACGCACGCACGCACATACATACACGGACGCACACATACCAATACAATCCTTCATTCACACTCATCTCTTACATATTGTATATAATCTATACTTTATTACTGCGCACCTCATCATATAAACATTAACTGTCCACGTTGACCTAACTATTTGTTCAACACGTTTGTCGTATCAACCCTAATACTTACATATTGGTTATACTGTACTCCATCAATTCATATATACACCACTAACAACTGTCGCCTCCTCCCTGTTCTCACTTTTAACTTACCGTTTTGCTTCGCCTCCCCCACAAACAATGATCTTCGCAGATTATTTTTCCGAGTAATAAAGCTAATGTACGATGTGCAGTAATAAATGACGTCACTTTTGATGAAAAAAAAAAAGAGGGTATGGACTATATGCACTATATGCACTATTGTATGTATTGTACAGTAAGTATTTCGTTAATTAGCCATTCTATCCGGCCAGTTAGCCAGCCTACCAGCCAGCCTACCAGTCAGCCTACCAGCCAGTTTGTCAACCAGTTAGCCAGCCAGTTCTTCAGCCAGTTCTTCAGCCAGTTCTTCAGCCAGTCAGTTTACAAGTAACTAATTTAGTATATATTTATATATCTCAACTTTATTGCACTTGTGTACATTATTTAATCAATTAGTCGGTCAGATAGTGTACGCATATCTTATCTGCTTGCATTTCAATCGTAAATTACACAAGTTCCGATTATAAAAAAAGAAGAAAAAAAAAAAACCATTATAATTGTTAAACAAGTATTGCACAGCAGCATCTGCAACTGATAAAATTGCCCGCATCATTGTTACATATTACTGTTTTATTATTTATATATTTATTTGCTCTTTCTAATTTCAGTCTAAGCAAATGTATGCACAAGCGCCGTTAAAGCGGAGAAAAAAAAGAAAAAAAAGAATAGAAGAAACTTGTTCAGATTTGCAATTTGCATTACCTCTTCATGCTCGAGAAAGCTGGGGAAAGTAGGATAAGCTGTATTATGTGAAGCAACATATTCTCCTGCCCTGCAAGAGCGCGAGTACATACATGATCAGCTGTGGGGGAAAAGGACAAAACGATAAAAATGCTGTGCAATGAACCGGACAACAAGTCCGGAAATGATTTCATACGTGGACGAATAAGCTGTTAAATTATGGATTCTAAAGCCAAGGACATACGGTACAATATCCATATACTGCGATGTAGTAAATGTGATGAAAAGATTTGATCTTTTTTTTTCCTTCTTTTTTTTTCCGCTTGTCGATTCGATGATCAAACTCAAACGGCGAGCTCACCGACTGATTTACCAAACTAGTGTATCGCTCCTCGTCTACAGACTAAAAAGGCTTTCAATAACCAATAAACACTATATTGCAAGAACAATGCAATGTAAAAGATTGCGGGGAACATTTTCACCGAAAAGAAAAGAGATAATATAATACAAATTAGTATGTTGATCCGAGTTTATTATTTATGTTTGAAACTGGTCGATGCAATTGAATCGTACTTGTTTCTCTCATTCCCTGGGTATATCCAAGTTGGTGTTTCCTTAACCCCGCATTCTTTGTTGTAAAAACATTTCCGTTAAAATAAAACTATTTATACAAATAAATGGAACACTGCATCGATTCAAACTGATGACGCTGCCTTTGCATTAATTAATTACTTTTTACTTGCTTTGTTTAATGGAATTTTGGTTCCTGTGATACTGATTGTCGTTCGTTCCTATTAGAAAATGCCACTTCCCCCCCCCCCTTCCCCCTCTTCCCCCGCCTTCCCCCGCCTCTTCTGTTGCTGCGTCAATGAACAATGGCAATCTGGTAACTATTAATATCGATCCGAGAGGTTGATTAAAGATAACGTAGATGGCAAAGGGTTATCTATCATTTAGAATAATAGATTGGAGGAAAAAAAATTTTTTCCGAGATATGCATGATGTATTTAAGCTCGTGCATATATATTCTTCCCTGCATAAATGATTCGCTATTATCAGTAAGATAATCCTGGATCAACAGATAAGTATATTGATAACAATATATTGCTACCGTTATATTATTACCTATTTGGTAGTATTAACAATATAATTAACTAGTGATGGTCAATATGGATAAACTATATGGTAGGCGATCTAAGCAAGATAGAGGCACTCGCTGTGATGGATAGATAAATATACTTTATGAAACTTGTGCTCAACCAACCCAACTCACCGAATGACTCGACCAATTAACGTCCAACTGAACCAACTTAACCTAACCCTTTCTCCTTGAAAATAAGCAGGAGTCATATCGTATAAAGGACAACGGAGAAGCGTAAAAGTAGTACAACCGCTCGTGCATAATGTGGCTGAGGGGAGATGCTTTCGGTCGATCATGCAAAAAAGTCATAAGGAATAAAATAATAGTATTACGAAAAAATATCATCTGGGATGATGCAATAATGCTTATTGGGGAAACTAATTATGCTTCCTAAACCGACCAAGACACACTCAGCACGTCCGTAGCAATTAAAATTATTCTTATGACCGAGTCTATTTTCATCAATGTTACACTAGTCGTTACGCTAGGAATAATTTATATCATAACACTGTAATGTTGCATGCCCCTAAACATTTGCAAGGTCGGTGACAATGACAATGTGAAACTTAATTCGAAACTTGCATATCTTGATCTTGTGATGGGAAAGTGGCTTAAAGAAGCCAATATAAAATGATAAAGAAAGAAAAAAAAGGTGTACTTTGACTCAAAAAGATTAAAGGATCGTCTTTGGGCATTCACATTAAT